CTGTTCCCTTTTCTGTAAATAATAATATAGCTTTGATAAAAAAACCAAAAACATGTATGTGCCTAGTTTGCTTTTTTTTTTTTCTTTTTTGAGACTGAGTCTCACTCTGTTGCCCAGGCTGGAGTGCAGTGGTGCAATCTCGGCTCACTGCAACCTCCACCTCCCAGGTTCAAGCGATTCTCCTGCCTCAGCCTCCCAAGTAGCTGGAGTTACAGGTGCCTACCACCATGCCCAGCTAATTTTTGTATTTTTAGTAGTGACAGGGTTTCGCCATGTTGGCCAGGCTGATCTCGAACTCCTAACCTCAAATAGTCCACCCACCTTGGCCTCCCAAAGTGCTGGGATTACAGGCATGAACTACTGCACCCAGCCTAGTTCGCTCTTCTTTCTGCCTAAATCACCCTTTTCCTTTTCCTAGATCTTCATGGGGCTGGTTTGCCTGATCATTCAGGCTTCAGCTTTTATGTCACCTCCTCACAGGTGAGATTCAGTCGCACTGCACCACTACGTTTTCTATTTCTTGTCTTCTTCTTTTTCTTTGTTTTTGTAGAGATGGGCTCTTTCTGTTTTGCCTAGGCTGGTTTTGAACTTCTGGCCTCAAGCAATTCTCCTGTCTCAACCTCCCAAAGTGCTGGGATTACAGGCATGAGCCATTACATCCAGCCGTGTGTTTTCCTATTTCTTACCATGGTTATCATACTGTTTTCTCATGTATTTGTTATTTTGCTTGTTTGTCTCTCTCTTCCCCTAGCATGTCAACTTTCTCATTGCAGGGCCCTGGTCCTCCTTGTTCAATGCTTTGTCTCTAGAACTCAGAACTCAGAACAGTATCTAACACAATAGACACTCAAGAAATAAATAAATATTTGCTAAATAACCAAATGAATGACCTCCTTTCATCTTTATGATGGCCCTCTAAGCTAAACATTCCTACATTTACAGATGAAGAAACCAAGTGGAAAGATATTAAGTAATTTTCCCAAGTGGTGCTACAGAGATGCATGAATGAGTATCATTTTAATACACTTACTACACTTAAAATAAATAAGAGAGGGTCTCTCTTCTGTCTCTTCATCTCTGAGCATGAGTGATCTCAACTTTTGCTAGAAAGATATCTTATTTATCTTTAAATTATCTGTAGGAGACTCCAGGTCTCAGTCATAACATGTTTTTAGTTTTAGTGTCTCAAAACCTTCACTGTTTTTCCAGTACTACTTAAAAAAATTAAAGTTTCCTAAGCTGGGCATGGTGGCTCACACCTGTAATCCCAGCACTTTGAGGGGCTGAGTCAGGTGGATCACCTGAGGTCAGGAGTTCGAGACCAGCCTGGCTAACATGACAAAACCCCATCTCTACTAAAAATACAAAAATCAGCTGGGCATGGTGGCAGGAGCCTGTAATCCCAGCTACTTGGGAGGCTGAGGCAGGAGAATAGCTTGAACCTGGGAGGCAGAGGTTGCAGCAAGCTGAGATGGTGCCATTGCACTCCAGCCTGGGCAACAAGAGTGAAACTTCATCTCAAAAAAAAAAAAAAGTTTCCTTATTACAAAGTAACATATATTTACTATTAAAAAAATGAAGAGAAAACAAAAGAAAAAAAAATCCATTCATGTATATCCACAAACTTGTTAGCCTCACTAAAACATCTTGCTTTTAACCATCTCCAATAACATGATAGACACGTTACGTTTTAAAATTGATTACTTACATATTGTATTTTATATATTATTTAGATATTTTCATATCACTGTTCATTTACATAATGTTGAATGTCTATGTGATATTTCTATTATATATGAGGATACGGCATAATTTACTGAATCAAAGCCTTTTTTTCTTCTTGAATTTTACTTTATTGGTACATCACCCTAATTATCTTTCATTATTGAGGTGTAATCTATTTACCTTAAAACTCACCCGTTTTTAGTGTAAGGTTCTGTGAGTTTTAGTCAATTTAAATAATTGTGCAACCATTATCATAATCTTTTTTTTTTGAAGATGGTGTCTCACTATGTTGCCCAGGTTGGTCTCGAACTCCTGGGCTCAAGCGATCCTCCCGCCTTGACCTGCCAAAGTGCCAGGATTACAAGCATGAGCCACTATGTGCAGTCCCTTACTCTTTTTTAAAAATTAATTTTATTAATGTATTTTTAAACCCTATATAGCCAAATTATTATCACTTCAATATATAATCAATATAAAAACGATTGACCCAGTGCCATGGCTCAGGCCTATACTAGTGCTTTGAGGCAGGAGGATCACTTGAGCCCAGGAGTTCCAGCAACATAACAAGACCCCATCTCTACCAAAATTTAAAAATTAGCAAATTAGAGAGACCTACAAAAAAATAAGAGAGCTCTCTACAAAAAATAAAAATAATTAGCTTTGTATGGTGGCCCCCACCTGTAGTCCCAGCTACTGGGGAGGCTGAGGTGGGAGCATCCCTTGAGCCCTGTAGGTCAAGGCAGCAGACAGCCTCGAGGCTGCAGTGATCCCCATTGCGCCATGCCAGTGTACTCTAGCCTGGACGACAGAGCAAGATCCTTTCTCAAAAAATTGAGGGTTTTTTTTTTTGGCGGGTGTGGGGGATACTGAATCTTTGAAGTCTTGTGTATTTTACACTCACGGCAGACCTCAATTCGGACTAGTCATGTTTTAAGAATTTGTGGCTACCATATTGGCAGGTGAGGGCTGCTGGCCCTGCTGGTGAAGCCTGCGGGTCAGGAGGTCACGTCCTCAGCTATGAGCTGGAGGAGTCAGGTGCCGGGTGCATTTTCCTCTCTGGCCTGGGAGGAACCCCTCAAAGGTCCTTAGAGTCTTTCCCTTATGGTTCCACATGGCAAGCACGGGCTCCAGGGAGATTCACATCGTTCCGTGAGCATGGAGGGAACGACTGGGCCTTGGAGATCCTGATTGCTTCCATCGAAGGGTTTTGCATTGGATAGAGGGTGTGTGAGGGGTAGGGGGTGTATGCGAGGAGGGAGGTGCGGGGGTGGGGGACATGGGGCAAAGAGGGAAAGCATCCAGGTTTTCTTCTTTCCCCTCCCTTCCCTCTTTCATATCCTTTCTGTATTTCTTGTTTCCTCCCTATTTTCTTTTGTTTTTCTTTTTTCCTTCTTAAATCAGTATAAGCAATAGTGCAATGAGCATCCTTTTATACAGATCTTTGTGCACTCATCTAACTATTTTATTAGAATAAATACTCAGGAAGTTTTTGCCAGTTTTATTTCCACACAGCAGTATGTAAACCTGTCTGTGTTCTTAAACCTTTGCCCTTCTCTCCTCTTTCTTTCCCTTACTGATTTGCTAAAGATGTTTGATATTTGTTCAAGGATATTATTCCAATTTCTCTGCTTTTTCTTGCATTTTTGCGCCCCTGCCCCCGCCATCTGCCTTTAACTTTGTTTATGGGTATAGGGAGGCAGGCTGAGGAAGGGCAAATATGGGATTGGCCACACTTCGGCACCAGATAGCTCTGTGACCTTGTGTAAGTGATTTAGATGTCATTTTCCCTGACGTGTGTAAAACGGGGATAATTACTTTATAGGGTCGTTATTAGCATCAAAGAGTTGCATATATAAAATACTTAGCACAGTGCCTGGCACTTAAGCACTCAACAAATGATAGTTATTATAATTTACAGAAAGTTTGAATGTTTATTTAGTCATATTTATTTTCTCCTTAGTCGTAGGTGCGATGCTGAGGAATTACCCAAAAGTTGTAAGACTATTCACCTATATTTTCTTCTGGAAATCTAGAATTTCTATGGTTTTGTATTTTAAATTTAAAATCTTTAATTCATATGTAATGTATTGTGCTGTATATTATGAAATGATGATCTGATTACATCTTTCTTTCTTTATGGCTAATCAGTTTTCCCAACACTTGTTTAATAAACCATCCTTTGCTCACATATTTGAAACATTATTTCTGTCCTATACAAAATTCCCCCATAGACATAAGCTAATTCCTGCATTTTCTCCTTTGCTTCATAGATGTGATTATTTCTGCGTTGACTACTGCTCTGTTTTATTTATTTTGACTTTATGATATGCTTAATATTGGACAGGGAAAGTGCCATCTCATAATTATATCTTCCAAAGTTTCTAGGATATTTCCATATACCAGTATTTTTACATTAACTTTAAACTTGGCAAGCTGATACTTAAATAATTCTGACTAGCAATAAATAAATAGATTAATCTGATGGAGAATATCTTTTACAGCACAACATTTCTATGAAAGAACATAGCATGTCCCTTAATTTGTGTTCTTAAATAAAAGTGCCTCAGTAAAACTTCATAGTTATCTTAATGTTAGTAGTGAGTATTGCTTATTAAGTTTATTCCTAGGTATTTCATATTTTTACTCTTGTGAATACTATCTCTTTGACCTTTTTTCTCACTAATTATTGTTCTTATATAGAAATTTATTTATTTCCTTTTTTATTTTTTAGAAATTTATTTTTTTATTTTATTTTTAAGTTGCTATTGCAACTAGCCACCTTACTGAATTTATCTATTCCTACACTGAAAGTTGATTTATTGATTTTTTTCCAAGCAAACAATCCCATTATTTGCAAATATAATTCAGTCTCCTAATTTCTAATATTTGTAACTCATTTTTTTTGTTTTACTACATTGGTTAGAATGTTTCAAACACTGTTTAATAACAGCAACAATAACAGAAATCCTCATTTTTTCCTAATGTTCCTATCTATTGAAAGGCCTCTTACGTTTTACTTTTGAGGATAATATTTGCTATCTTTTCAATATTGTTTTTCTTTTATACTTGTTTTTAAACTTGTGTTCTTTCTTATGCTATAATCAGTAGAAACAGAGAACATTGGCTTATTATTTCCTTTTCCATCCTGATAATATTTTTCTCAATGATTCAATGACTATCATTTATTTCAGTCAAAAATTGTATAACCGCTATGCCTTCCAACAGATCATTTTAAGGAAAAAACTAGTTTTGTTCTGTTATTTTCTTTTTGTTACCTTTGCAGAGGAGAGGCTGACGATGTGTTGGTCTTTTTCATTGGTTACGATCTCAGTGATACTGAACATGTGTCCCACAAGTTTCCCCACGGGCTTGGTGCTGATATTGGGGTGCCACAACCGGATGACTTTATCGTCTCCTGAAAAGGAGGACAGGGAAAGATTATTTGTTTCCTCAGGTGGTCAGAGTTTCAAACGTATCTCTCACTGTATCATACCCATATCTTTCCTCTAACAGCAAATCACAGTCTGTTTCTGGCGGGATGCATCATTCTGTGATTGATGTGCTAAGGGGCTGGCCTTGGTTTGGATCTGCCGCTTCTTGTGAAGGCTGTTTTGTGAAGACTGTATTTACATACACAAATGTGAATTCTCATAAATATTTTATGAGCTCTTTTCTTGATTCAATCCTTTCCTATACTTTCATGCATTAATGTATTATTTATACTTTATTTACTTCCAAAAATATTTAAGGCAGCTGCTCTTTTGTTTTCATTCTTAAATTAAGCAAACATTATAATAATGAAAGAAATCAAGGAAAGAGGAAACTGCATTTAATCTTCACCATTATAACAAATCAACTGTTGTCATTTTTCTATCTTCCCTTCTAGCATGTATTCATAGGCATATATCATTTATGTGTAGTTACTACCATAGAATAAATATGATTTTTTAATTGCTAAAACATCATAGAAGGGTATAATTTTTATTAAAATGTCTTTTCCTTCATAATCTCTAATTTAACTCCCTGTAGGAAATCACTGTTAACTTTTTAAAAATATAAATTAGATACATTTCTAGATACATATTTATACCCACTACTTTTTTATATTTATGAAAGACCATGAGCTCATGCCCTCATAATTATCCTTTTAGTTACTATTTCTCAATTTCTTAACCCCTTGTCCATTGATTAGTCAACTAATTCTAGTTTTTTACTTTATTCAACAATACTGTAATGAATGGTTATTGTACTTCTATGGTCTTTTTTTTTCTTTTGGATTATTTACTGTGGATAAAGTCCCAGGTGTGGCATCATTATGTTAAAGGCTATAAACATTTTTATCACTTTCGAACGTATTGCTAGCTTACTTTTCAAAATGACTGTACTAAATCCCAAGCCCATCAACGATATATTCTGCCAGTTTCATTACATTCTGGCCAGCACATGAATATTGTCATGATTTAAAATGTTTGCTATGTTAATAGGTCTAAATGGTACCTTATTTTTAATTGCATTTTATGATAGCTAATGCTGTTGGATATTTTTCCCCAAATATATCTGCTAATTGTATCCTCTTCTTCTGTAAATTTTTTGACTATATCCTTTAGCCATGATCTGTTGGAATTTTGATAGCACTAAAACTAAAAGTTGAACCAGGCATGTATTATCATATGTATACACAAACACACACACACACACACGCACAGTTTTATGAAAAACCTGGCTACGTGTTCACCAAACCCATATCCTCTCTTCCTGGGTACACATTTCCAGGCTCCTTTGCAGTTAGGTGTGGTCAGGTTACTGAGTTTTAGCCAGTGAATTCTGATAGCTGACATTAAACTTTACATTTTCATTGTGTTGGACCCATTCACATTGTAGGGGTTATTTTTTACCGCAGCCATCATTACTTAAACAAACGTGCAGCTGTAATCTAATTATGTTTCCAAAAAGAATAAAAACTGTAATTGTTTACAAAATATAGAATATTTTTTAAGATATTAAATTTTATGTTTCACAAATAATTCTTTAAATGTCATCCTGGAAACTGAGTCATAAAAACATCAAAGAACTTCAAACTGGGATCCTAGAAGTTGCATAATCCAACTTTCTTATCTCACAAAAGAAAGAAACTAACTCCCAAAGTTTAAGTAGTTTTAACTGAATGAATTAATTTAATTATTTAAATGTGATTTGTACATCTCAGAAAATGGAATTGAGTTAGTAATACAACAAAGCATTCCTAAGCACCTTACATATTACCAAGGACCTTTAGGCTACTAGACAAAGAGGCTGTATAAAGGCATTATAACCTGAGTTATAATTTATATATAACCTAAATTATTAACAGACATAATTTACATATAAAAAGCCTAAAATTCAAAATAGTCATTTTACATTCTTCACAGAAGTAGAAGAAACTATTTTAAAATTCAAGTGGAACCAAAAAAGAGCCTGAATAGCAAAGACAGTCCTAAGCAAAAAGAACAAAGCTGACGGCATCATGCTACCCCACTTCAAACTATACTACAAGGCTCCCGTAACCAAAACAGCATGGTACTGGTATGAAAACAGACACATAGACCAATGGAACAGAATAGAGATCTCAGAAATAAAACCACACATCTACAACCAGCTGATTGTCAACAAACCTGACCAAAACAAGCAACGGGGAAAGGATTCCCTATTTAATAAATGGTGCTGGGAGAACTGGCTAGCCACATGCAGAAAACTGAAACTGGACCCTTTCCTTACACCTTATACAAAAATTAACTCAAGATAGATTAAAGACTTGAATGAATGTAAACCCCAAAACTATAAAAGCCCTAGAAGAAAACCTAGGCAATACCATTCAGGACATGGGCACGGGCAAAGATTTCATGATGAAAACACCAAAGGCAATAGCAACAAAAGCAGAAATTGACAAATGGGAAGGAACTTCTGCACAGCAAAATAAACTATCATCAGAGTGAACAGACAACCTAAAGAATAGGAGAAAATTTTTGCAATCTATCCATCTGACAAAGGTCTAATATCCAAAGTCTATAAGGAACTTAAACAAATTTACAAGAAAAAACTACCCCATTAAAATGACAAAAGACATGAACAGATATTCCTGAAAAGAAGACATTTATGCAGCCAAAAAACATATTTAAAAAGCTCAACATCATTGGTCATTGGAGAAATGCAAATCAAAACCACAATGAGATACCATCTCATGCCAGTCAGAATGGTGATTATTAAAAAGTCCAGAAGCAACAGATGCTGGCAAAGTTGCAGAGAAAAAGAAATGTTTTTTACAGTGTTGGTGGAAGTGCAAATTAGTTCAACCACTGTGGAAGGCAGTGTAGCAATTCCTCACATATCTAGGGACAGAAATACCATTTGACCCAGCAATCCCATCACTGGCTATATACCCAAAGGAATACAAATAATTCTATTATAAAGATACAGGGCTGTTTATGTAATTGCAACACTATTCACAATAGCAAAGACACAGAATCAACCCAAATGCCCATTGATGATAGATTGGATAAAGAAAATGTGGTACATATACACCATGAAATACTGTGCAGCCATAAAAAGGAGCAAGATCATGTCCTTTGCAAGGACATGGATGGAGCTGGAAGCCGTTATCCTCAGCAAACTAACACAGGAACAGAAAACCAAACACTGTGTGTTCTCACTTATAAGTGGGGGCTGAACCTCGAGAATGGACACATGGACACATGGTGGGGAACAACTCACACTCACTGGGTGGTGAGGAAGAGAGAGGATGAGGAAGAATAGCTAATGGCTGCTGGGCTTAATATCCAGGTGATAGGTTGATCTGTGCAGCAAACCACCATGGCACATGTTTACCTTTGTAACAAATCGGCACATCCTTCACATGTACCCTGGAACTTAAAATAAATTTGAAGAAAAAAAGAAAATAAATAAATTTTGAAAACCCAAAATAGTCATTCTAGTTAATCTGGTATTATATATTGGGCCACACATTAGGATGTATTTCCTGATGTATATCGGATTTTTATTTTGATAGATTATCCACACTGAAAGAGCCAGTCAGGTATGGAGGGATAATTAGTTCACTTGTTCGTTGGATATTTATAAACCAGGCACATTTGATAGATGCTTCCATAATTCTATGATTATTTTATTGGGCCTCATGAAAAAGCATAGTATTTTCTCTACCTTTTTTCTCTTCTTTGAGGATCCCAATCCATCCATCAAGTCTCAGCATAGCTTTTCCTCCAGTAATATTCCAGAATACTTCCATATTCTTCAAACCTGAGTGCTCTACCTATGTGCCTCCTTCATCCCCATCATCCTTCATAGTTAATTATTTGTCTGGACCACTATTAGACTCCACGTGCCTTGAGAACAGGACTTGTTCTTGTTTACTGTCACATATAATCTACGGTAAGAATTCAAAAGATATTTTTTGAACCACTTCAGTAACTTCATTGTTGGCATGGTGAATCACAGCTGAGAGGTTTAACTATCAAGTGCCAAAAACGGGGAAAAACGTGTTCAAACAAAAAAATGGATCTTCGTTGAATGTTCATCTAATATTTTTGGAAGGTCATTTGTTCATTTCAGAGGCTCTCACTTCTTGGAGTGTTATTACAGGCAGGCTGAAAAAAAAAAACTCGTTGCATAGCTGATTCTTGGTTTCCATTTCTTAAGAATTGCAGTGGAGTGAATTCATTCCCTCCCAGATTTATATATTGTAGCCCTAGCCCCAACACGATGGTGTTTGGAAATGGGGGGGGCCTTTAGGAGATAATTAGGTTCAGATGAGGTAATGAAGGTGGGCCCTCATGATGGGATTAATGTCCTTATTAGAAGAGACACCAGATCCTGCTGCCCCAACCCACCCTCTCTCCCCTCTTTCTCCCTGCCGTTTGCGAACATGGAGAGAAGGCAGGTGTCTACAAGCCAGGAAGAGAGCCCTCGCCAGAAACTGACAATGCTGGCACCTTGATCCTGGACTTCTAGCCTCCAGAAAATTTCTGTTGCTTAAACCTTTCTGTTTATGGTATTTTGTTAAGGCAGCTCAAGCGGGCTAAAACATCAACGAAGATATTTTAGGGGCTGTGGTTGATGAACAAGTGGAATATTTTCTTAAATTTAAAACTTCCATGATGCTCTTATTAACAACAAGAAAGAAAATCTCTTGAGAAGTTAACTGTGCACTTACTGTTTTTTTTTCAATCTATGCTCTCCCTTCTCTTCTGATACCTTTGTGCCCTTAGTATTTTGCAAGATGTGAAGGATACAAAGAAATTCTAGATGTTGTTCCTGCCCAAGGTCTACTTTTTCAGAGACCCAAGTTTATACCCTTTTAGACTTAGTTTGATTATTACTCTCCCCAGTGCCTTCCCTAGTCACCTTTCTCTGCCCTAAATGGAG